TAGCCAGAATTATACTTAAAACTTTATTGTATCGTAACTTCGCAAATATTAATCGTAGAGAGATGATCTTACCGCCATTCGATTCGTCTTGATGAGATGGTTCTAATGGTATAAAATACGTCGAAATCCAATCACTAGATTAATTTCTGAAATTAAAAAAAAATATTAATGGTTTTTGTGTAATAACTCTGCCAATATTGATCCTAGAAAGACGATCTTACTACCATTCGATTCGTCTTGATGAGAAAAATCTAATGGTATAAAATACATCGAAATCAAATCACTAGATCAATTTCCGAAATTAAAAAATATTAAATGGTTTTTAAGTAATAACTCCGTCAATATTAATTACAAAGAGATGAGCTTACCACCATTCGATTCGTCTCGATGAGGCGATTCTAACGAGCTATAAATCGTCTTTTTACAATCACTAGGTACCGAGAAATCTAGCAAAATGTTAAATGGCACAGTAAACGTAAATCAAGAAATATTATAATGCCGATGTTTAACATTTTGTTGAATAACTCGTCAGCCAGTGATCGGAAAAGGATAAAACTTCCAAGTCGAATTATATGGTGAAATTTGGCTATGCCGGAATGTTCTTTTTCATGCTTGGGAAGAGTCGCAGGGTATCTCGACTGCTTCCAAATTACGTGGCCCTTCTACAAATTCTTCTTCTTATACTATCTCTCCTCATCATCACGACTCCTCTTTGGCGACAGTTTCTCAGGATTCCTGGATTTCTTGGATATCCTCTTCTATAATTCGGGGTGGATCATAGATCTCGCACCTGGATTTTCTGCGCCGCTTAACAGTTCAACCTCTTAGGATCTCTTTCTGGTAAACGGACTGGATTTTTGGATGTTGGATAGTTGACTCACACTGGCCTTCGGGTAAAGTTGGGGTATGCGATTCTGTAATAGTTTAGTTTTTCTTTGCTTTAATTTATTTTAGTTTAGATTTCTTTACTTGTATGAGTCGTGAAGCTACTCTTTTTTATTTTTATTAGTTTATTTTCTTATTTTTGTAATAT